CAAACCATACTTGTAACTAAGCTTCTTTCTTGATGTACAGTGTCAACTGGAATCCCTCCAGCTTACCAAGGAGACTGATACTAACTAAACAATAAAAAAACTTGTGGTTAATTTATCCTTGCAAAAAAAAAAAAAAAAAAGGCTTATAGGGTAGATATTCATCTGCAAACTCTTTGTCAAGTTAAAAACACATTTTCAAAAAGCAGATACCAAAAGGTGACCTAGACTGAGCAATAACATAATAACAACATCCAGAGTATCTACAAGGTATTAGAGTTGACATATGCTTGGCAAACACTCAACCACTCTGAAAGTCTGAAAGTTTGAGATAACATCCTCATACAAACTGGAAATAAAACATATAGATTTCAGAATGGTTTTTTTGTATTGAATCGGGTGAAGTGCTGAGTAAGAGGTTGCTGTGTGCCATATTTAAGATTTCATGCTCAGGTATGGCATTTTCTTAAAGATTTTGAGGTAGATTTTGATGATAAGCATGAGGCAAGACTAAGCCTCCCATGTTTCCTAACCTAATTACAATGTGATCTTAAGGGTTTTTATTTTCTTTTAACTGAAAATAATGTGCTGTTTAAGTGTTCTAAGCTAGAAAACTGCAGCTGTTGCTGGTTAATTTTCGTATGAAGTTAGATACAGTAAAAAGCAATTTCCAATGGTTCTTCATCAACTTATTACTTTTAAATGAATATTCTGGTTTATGTAATCTTGGTATATTTTTATCTAAATGTTTGGAAAAAACATCCCCCACTTATAGGTACTGATATCTACATGCTTTTAGTGGTTCACAGCATATATAAAGAAATTAATACATTTGATAAAACTATGGAATAATAGAAGAAAACCAGAATTTTACATTTTTTTTTCCTAGTTTCTAAAATCCTATATGTAGGTTTTTACTTTTGTCTGGACTTAGCCCTCATAGTATTCAGATGTTTCCCATATCTCATATTAAAAACTCAGTTTAAAATACTTCAAAGTGATATATCTCATTCTTGACAAAATACTGATAAGAGAATTTGTGCAGCTGATGAACACTGAGTTCTTGCCACAAAACAAAAAAAATGGTGGAGGAGAAGACTTGAACTGCACAAATTGCAATATATCTAGCAAAGGGGAAGTAATAAGCAAAGAACTTTACTAAGGCAGGTTTTAAGTACAAATAAGGATGTAGTGCTGCTGCTTAAAAGAAAACTCAGGGAGAAAAATACTCCAGAGCAACTTAATTTTGAAGGTAAGGTGAGGGAAGGTTTTAACGGTGCCTCTCAGGCATTGGGGTTACAAGTTACGCGTGCTGCTCCCTGATCCAGTGTTACAATTTTTATAACAATGTCCATCCAATCCCTGAGTTGTCCACCCTCTGGCCTTTACCCTGTTCCACCCCTCAATCCACCCCTCGGAAATTGAGTCTGGGGTTGTACTGGGACCACTCCTTCATCATCTTCCTCTTCTTTGGAGTACAGAGTGCACGCAGAGCACACAGTCCTTGGTTATATATTGCGGTTCAGGCCAGGGAGCAGATGTTCTTAAACAGTAGAAGGCTTACCTTGAAAGAAGACTAAACATGCAAAATTGAATTTAAGGGGAAATTGATATGGGGAACATGGAATGGGGTAAGAGGGTTAGGGATCTGTGTAGCTACTGTGCTAAAGAGTGAGGGAATGAATGCAACTGCTTCTAAAATCTACATTTGCTATATAACTATTTCTAAAACTTATAAAAATTAAAAAAAAAGTCAAAAAATAAAAAAACCCTAAGGCAACAGTACAGTGAGTTAGACCTTAATGAAAGAAATAAATTGGTGTTTGACAGAGTTTTTTTGAAAGGACAGTAAACGTGGTGACAGTGATGATCAAGAAAGAGGATAAAATGGCAAGTAGAAAGTATGACTATGTGGGAGTATCTGTCTTCTACCCCATTTTCAACCTCTGTAGCTTGGCCCAAGACAGTAAACCTGTTACATGCCTTCAAGCCTGTCTGAATTATCCCCATAATTAGGCAATACTGGTGTGAACTCCATAAAAATATACCCACTAGAGAAAATACTTTCATAAATGTGAAATGTAGACAATGAGATTTTGTAATGAAGTGACATCTCTGTTTATGAAAAATGTCAATGGTCCTCTTTGTAACATATTAACAACAATAAGGATCTATGTGAATCGTTCACTTCTTCAATAAAGTGAATAATGTCTCTCAGTAAACTAGTACGTTGCGTTTCATGGTTAGATTTTCTTGATGTTGAAGGTGTGTCACTGTGGAACATTCCTTTCTCCAAACACAAGTAGGAAGACTCTTACACTCCTACCTGGAAGAAGATTTTCAATGAAATGGAAGAAAATGTAGTCTATAATTAAGATATGTAAAATATTGGTTTCAACTGGAAAATGAATTCAGGAATTATAATCAGTGACAGAAAGAGACACATACTGTGATAGTTAAAGTCCCATTTTCTTAGAATACCAGATAAAACACATGAAAGACAGATATAATTAGTACTATTCTGTAAGACCACTGAATGGATCTTAAAATGTATGTTGTGTATGGTGGAGTATGGAAGGGGGAGGTGTGTGTGTGAATAAAGGTCAATCCTGCCTAAGACAAGCACTCTGTTCACAATAAAGTTCTGCTAACACACTTTTCCTTTTTTATTATTCTGTGGAGGTTAAGTTTAAGAGTGGGACAGATAGTTACCCTTTTGGATACTATAAATCTTCCAAAAGAAACCCCCAGAAGTGTTTGTGTGCCTTACACGTCTACACTGAAAACTGAACTAGCTGTAAATGAATTGTTCCAGGAATACAAAGCAAATTAGCTGTTTCATGAGAGAGTAATTGCAACACAGCTCAGTGCAGCTTAATGCCCTCTTCTGAGAATGAGAATTTATACACAGTGTGATGGATGGTAAAGCTATTAAACCTGTTTATTCCAGTTCTTCTAATGGGTTCACCCCAACAAGGGTGAAGCTAGGCAGTAGGGGGTCACCTTGAGTGATACACATCAGATTAGGAGCGTCCCTCGAAAGAGAACAAAGTACTAGACCTTCGGTGATATGTCTAAAAAAGCTTTTAAATGTCATGGTGAGGAAACATTCAGTGACATAGAAAGAAGATGCCTATAGCAGGAACCGAGAGTGGCAGATGAATGGATGTAGTCAGCTTGCAACAGACTCACAATCAGGTTCTGCAGGGATCCAGGGAGAGTTTTGAAGGATTTGTCAACTCAAGAAGTCACTGGGAGCTGTTTGACTGAAGAAAGGGAACCTGCATTGAAAAGTGAGTGAAATATAGATTTCTATGCAACCCTTTTATTTAAACAGTGCCATACCTAACAGTGTGTGTTTTCTCTCCATATAGTTCAAGTCCCTTTAATTGCATTCTCCCAAAGCTACATATTTAGAAATTGCAAAAGTTTAAATATTTTGTTACCTAGCTTCAAGAAAACAAAATAGGAGACATTTCCACTTCAATAGAAATTTACTTTTGCTAGTTTTGTGTTCCAATTGGAAGTACTGAGTCTGGCTGATTTGGAGTAGAGGCATTCAAAAAAGTTAAAAGACACAGTTTTTACCAACAAAACTATCTACTTTTATTATCCTTATGTATGCAAGACACCTATCCACTGTTGAAATAGTTAATGCTGACTCCATTTTTGGACCATTCACTATGGTAAGTAATATAAAATATTTTATACTCAAAACCAGTAGCTATGATGAACCAACAGAAAACTGTGTATACATGTATGTAATTTTCTAAAGAAAACAAGAGTAGAATTCTGCTGCCACTAAAGACAATTATCAAATTCATATTCATTTCCCTAAAAACAGAATGTAGTTTTTACCTGAAAATGTGGTTCCTCTTCAGAGGTACTCATTGTAATTTATTAGGAATATTTTTTATTTTTTTTTATGATGGACGAAGAAGAAAGTATAAAGTTCAGAAATAAAAGATTAAAAAGATGGTGTCAGACTTTCAATTGATGAGCTGATCTGCATACTAAGGAAAGTAATTCATTTCCATGGAGTAAAAAAGGATCAGTGGGCATGAAGTTGAGGTTTACAAAGCTTAATAGAAGAAATAGTATGAATACAGATTCATTTTTGAGTGGAGGGAAACTGCCAAAAGTAATGAAGTAAGATTGTTGAGGGCAACTAAGTACACTGGAAAATATTTTCCTACAGAACATTAAAACCACCAAAAAATTAATAGTCATTAACAAGAATTTCTGAAGTATTGTCCTTAGCTCAGATTTTCTTAATTTTCCCTAGGAAGGACCCTCCAATAATTTTTTAATTTTACTAATTTTTGAAGAGACAAAATTAAAATGAAAATTACTCATTAACAAAGAAAAGTTTTAAGTTCTTGAATACCATAGATTAAGGTTTTGCAAAATCCAGAAGATTTGGAGGGACCTCACACCCCACCTTCACTGGGGTTCTGTATAAGCAAGAGATTTAAAGATCTTTACAATCTCATCTAAGATCAGACTTTCATCACACTATCAAGCCTGTGAAATTTGAATCACAAGAAATGACATGGAATTCATAAATATTTGAGAAAATTTTGTATGAAAAAAAATTACTTTTAACACACTACACTAATAAATCAATGTTTTATTTCAGTAGATTGATTTCCAGCTTATCTGGCATCTTAAAGGTTCAAGACTTGATCACTCCATACCAACATGTATGTTTCATTGCAAAGATTCAAAATAATTCTAAATTTGTGATGAGATTCAAATAACAAGTATAAACACAAGACAAATTTTGTCAGAAAAGTGGAAGAACATAAAGCTAATTCCTGATATTGTGTGTTTGAAATCTGATTAAGTTGATATAGATATATATTAAAAGAAATCTGTTTGTGGGGGAGGACATGAGTTTGCACATGAGATTCTATCAGCTATATACCTGAATGAGCGACCAAGTCATGTGACTCTTTGTGAAGAGAGAGCCTCCATCGCCTGTGTAGTCACCTTTACTGGATATTTTACGAAGTCCCCCCTGAATCTTCTCTTCTCCAGGGAGAAAAGACCTAACTTCTTTAGTCTTTCCATATAGGCAGCTTCTCCAGTACTTTGATCATCTTCCTGGTCTTTGACACTCTATACATACCTTTCTTCTTTTATGGGGATCAGAACTGAGCACAGTACTTCAGGTGTGATCTGAAAAAAGATGAATAGATTAGAATGATAATCACAGAATGGTTTGGGTTGGAAGAGTCTTTCAAGATCATCTAGTTCCAACTCCCTACTTTCAATGCCTCTATCTCCACTAAAAATGCCCCTGCAGATGCAGATCAGGATCCAAATTTACCTTTTTTGCAGTGCTGACTCATGTGCAGCTTGTTTTCTGCCAGGACCTCCAGGTCTCTTTCAGCATGACTGCTCCTCAGACACACAGATCTTAGCCCCTACTGGGTTCTTCAGCTTATTTGACTTATTTTGACACAGAGGTAGGACTTTGTACTCGTCATTGTTAAACTTCATATTGAAGAAAAAGTAATTCAAGTTTTGCATTTTTTTCCACTCTGTGGAGAATTAATTTATGGGGAAAAAGCAAACAAATAAAGAAAAATGAACAGTGTGCCTGAAAAAGATGTGCTATATCTCTACAGCTGTTTATTTCAAAAATGTACACTAAGTTTGACAACCTAAGGTTTATTTTACCACCAGTAGAAAAGAAAATCTCTGAAAAAGTTTTTTAATGTTTGTTCATGCTGAAATCAAAAGTTGATTCTAGCTCTAATTCTCTTTTAAACTCTCTTTAATGAGTTTTTCATTTCATTCCTACAGATCAAATCATATCATCCTATGAGAAACCAGGCAGTTTAATTTTCAATATTTCTCTGAAAATACCATCTGTTGTTTAAACTATATATAAACATATGTATTATCACTTATTGTTTGCTTTCAGTATTAGTATTTCATTTGATGAAATCTAATCCAATCCAAGAAATGCTGAACAATGTGCACATAGTTATTCTAATTTTCTTAATTACTTATTACATTATTTCAGAACAACTCCCTTAAATTCTATAAACCCAGAACTACCATATGTCATTAGCTTATAGATCAGTGCCATCTATTTTCAAAATTAGCCATACTGTGTTTAAATCTACATTTCTCGTAAACTAAACATTTGTAGATAGGATGATGTAGTACGAATAAATTGAATCTCAGAAATTACAATGAATAGAAAATCATGCTGAAGTTAGTGTTTATAGAAATTCTAAATCAGTGAAATTTTATCTGTCATCTTTTTTCTACCGTAACAGTAGTCTTCATAGAAACTGAGCTTCTTAGACCTCAAGTAGTATTTTGTGCAAATTCACTGAAAAACTTTGTGAAAATGCTCTGCAGGGAGGAGGACTCCTGGCAGAACAAACAATCCTGATAATGGTTGATAATTTAAAGTTTTGTAATGTTCCCTTTTAATCTGGAGAAAAACCCTTATCTGAATGTCTGCAGTAGCGAAGAATAATGGTGTCTGTTCTCTATTTCCAGAAATATAATTTCTGATAGTGAAGAAAAACACAATTAGTTCACTACATTATAGGTAGAAATAAATAAATTTAAATCTCTAAACCTGGAACTTAATGAGGGAAAAATCCCAAATGCATTTTATTATCTATGTTAGAGAATGCACACATGCCATTTTCTGTGTTCCAAAACTCCTACTTCTATGTGAATTGTAATGAGTGTTCTAGATCTTGGTAAAAGGTTCCCTGGTTCCATTACTTCCTTTAGGGACCAAAGGTTAAGAATCTACTGTGAGCTTCACAGCTCTCTCAATCCTGCATAATTTTCTCATCAACAAACTTTTGGATCAGCCTCTAATGGTTCCTGCACCTTAGGTGGACAAAACTCAGGACTTGTAGTCCAAAATAAATATCAGTTTTTAATTCAATGTCTTTTCAGGCATATAAATGGCAAGTAATTTCATATTAATGAAATAAATATCCTGTGAGTCAACATCTGAATCATATTTCTGTGTTGTTAATGTGAAAAATTGTAAGAACTTCTTGCCTCAGTAGACTCCTACCTCCAGTTCTGCACAAAATGTTATTTCTTTCCCCAGAACTGACTAATGTTGTCTATAGCCTCATTTCTCTTATCTCAATAGCATTTCATAAATTTATTTCCTTCCATGTTGGCTGTGTTATGACTTGTTAAACTGGGAATTTTGAGATGTACTGGACAGACCCCAGCCAGCAACTAAGCATCCACCAGTTGGTTGCTCTTCCCCCACAGAGGAACAGAGGAAAGATTCAGAAGAGCAAAATAACAAAACCTTGTGAGTCAGAAAATCCTAATTTTAATAATTGAAGAGAAAAAAACCCAACCAATCAAATAAAAAACCAACCATCTAAACAAAAAACCCACCACACTTCACAATCCCTCATAAACAAGCGAGTGATGCAAAGGCAATGACTCACCACCTCCTGCAAACAGACCAATGCTCAGACAGTCTTTGAACTGATTCCTTCAGAGAAATTATGCCCCAATTTTATTGCGGAGCATAATGTCATATAGTATAGAATGTCCTTTTGATCCATTGGGGTCAACTCTCCTATCTATGTCCCCTCCCAAATTTTTGCCAGTCCCTATTCTACTTGTTCAGGGTAGAGCAGGTTGAGAAACAAAGAAGGCCTTGATGCTGTGCAAGCACTAGCAATAGCTAGAACAATTGCTTTACCAACATTGTTTCAGTCACAAATCTAAAGCACAGCACCAAACAGAAGAAAATTACCACTATCCCAGCCAGAGGAAGGGAATGCAGATGATCAACTATATGGATTATATGCCCCAAAGTATTATTTACACACACATACACACATATATGTATACATATATAAATAAATGTTGAACTTCTGAGACAAAAATTGCAGATACACAGTCACTTGCAACTATCTTTAGACCTTGATAATGCTCTTCATGCATCAGTCCCAAAGCAGTTTATATAGCATACAAATAATAACATGGGTCCTCAATTGATGATCAAATGGACCCACAGGGACAAAGATTACTCACAGAGCTTTCTGCTTTGTACAGGAATAAAAAGAGAAAAAAATAAAAACTGATCTTCAGATGCAAATGTGCATTCCGTCCATATGACCAAACTGAAATTACTCTGAAATAAAATACGTTGAGATGTGTACAGCATGATGATTATGTGCTCCATAATAAGATTTTTGCTCTATACATCAACTACTTTTCATAATTAACAGAGTCAGTATGTGACTGTTATCAAGGATACATGCCATAATGTAAAGTTCAGATCCATAAGCAAACACCAGCATTAATCAGCAGTGCTGCACAGAAGGAAAACGTTCAAAATAATGTTTCTGCTCAGTAAATAATATGTTATTTTGAGTAGTTTTTATGTATAAGGATGGTAACTGATAACCTCATTAATATATGTACACACTTCCAAGAGTGTTAATCCTGCTAGTTTCTGAGCATCTTCAGTCCATTTTAATATATTAACAAATAAATACACTAATAATCTCGTATGGAAAATAGCTGTATCAAATACATGTTGTACTATTGATATTTCACAAATTTTTAATTAGTGTATTTAATTAGAAAGTTGTATTATGTTAAATGCGCAGACAGCCTGGGACCATACGTAAAGACGACTTTGAACTATCTTTTCTGACTTATAAAATGTATGCATCAATCTATACCACATGTTCCACACAGGGAAATACTGATATTTGTATGCTAATTAATTGTAGAACTGCTGGTAAATTCCCAACTCTTTGCCTGCCTTGTAGAGTTTAGAACTGCTATCAATCACTTTCTTTCCTTTCAAAACCTTGCATTTAAATGACATTTTCTTTATATTTTACATTATTCTTGTGTTTGTTGTGTGACAGCAGTAATATTTTTTGTTTCCCTATCCCTCAGTTCTGTAAGTCAACCATAACTGGAGATGGCACTAAATAAGTTAAAGTGTAATTCTGAAAGTATGCAACAAATCCAAAAGATATTGTTTTCTGAAGGAATACAAAATGAGACAAATGGAAATGAAATTCGCAAAAATGCCTTCAGTTTCACAAATGTAGACTGGGAAAGAATGTTTTTGGTTGTTTTTTTTTGGTCACTGCTTACTTATCGTCTTGTTCTTTAATCCTATTTTGGGGAAAATGAAATCTATTTTAAGAAATGTATTAGAAAAAATTAAATAAAATACAAACTGAGCATTCAAGAAAACACAAGGTGATCCATAGTTTATATAAGTGAAATAAATCACACAATGTATTATTTAATTAGTAATGCATATATACCTGCCATTGACTCTATCAGACTTTGATTTAAAGTCCTAAAGATCATCTTTTACTCATTCTATTCAAAATTCTACCTGGCATCATGTACATACTAGTCATTTTGAAGAGTACAAAGAGTGGTGTTCTAACCTGTTACCAGAACGACCACCAAGTGTTTCAGAAAATTTTTGAAATAGGTGACTGTTTCTTTGTGCCAACTAAGGTATAAGAAAAAGAACCCATAGTTTCCCTAAGAGTAGCTAACGGTATCCTTCTAGGGCTTAGTGCTTTTCAGGTAGATTTGGATTTTTTGTAACAGTAGAAAGATGGGTATGATTGTATTTAGTATCTTCTGTACTTGTGTCAGGAGTTTAAGGAAATACCAAACAACTTTTGACTTTTTCTGAGTCATCTGAATTCTGCAGTATGTTATGACATTTTTCAGATACTAATTTTCCCCCCAAGGGTTGTTTGTGCCAGTGTAGGAGGTTTAGGGAAGAGGTTTGATGAACTGTTTTCAAATGGTGACCTCCCAAGAATGGGAATTTGATAGTTTTCTACAACACATTTCCCTAAGATGTTAGTGTGTTAGACCAGTTGTTGATGCTAGTGAGCATTTATAATGAATGATATTTTCAAGCTGACAGTAAGGATGCAGTTGACAGTGTCTGAGAGAAGAAAATTTGACATAATGGATACAAGATACTTCCCACCCACTGGTCCATTGACACACTGGCAGAGAGGAGACTCAAATCAGGTTAAAGATATGCATTTAGGATTGACTCATCTACTATAATGTATCCTAGGCATAAACCATGTTAGTAAGGTATCCTGTGTTTACTTATGCTCAGGTGTTGGGCTGATGGAATTTATCACAGAGAGAGGTTTTTGAAA